AGCTCACAGTGGTCAGTGGCAGGTTTAGAAAAAAAAGCAGTACTTCAACTAAACTCGTAAAGAACTGTGAGAAATTGTGCAGACAAGCAGGAAGGAGTGCTTCAAAGAGCATTTCTGATTAATCATGAGAGAGGACTATGAAGAACTGTAATAATTATAATACAAATACATGTGAAGGCCCTTTCTAGCCAATCATCTGAACTTTCAACCCTGAGCTGCTAACCCTCACTCAAGGAAAGAAAGTGGCCACCAAGGGCTGGGCTGAGGGTGAAGGGTTAGCGATTTCTCTTACTCAAAAATACAGCTCCATGTTATGGGACTGTCAAACAACAAGATTAAATTTTCAAAACACACACCAGAACTTGGGTGTCGAAACAAGTGGTATAGTTTACAGTAAGGTGAATCATTCTTCCAACGAATGTGTCTGTCACTTCTCTTCTGAAACTGCCCTCAAAACCAGTTTACCATCATTCTAATTTTTTGATAGTCACAACTGAAATACATTTATATTCATTCCAATATTTTCCTTCTTTATTTCTATTTTTTATTGAAGTATAATTGACTTATGATGCTGTGTTAGCTTCCAGTGTGCAGCACAGTGATTTATACACATATATATATTCTTTTTCATATTCTTTTTCATTATGGGTTATTACAAGATACTGAACATAGTTCCGTATGCTATACAGTAGGACCTCGTTGAATGTTTTCATTCTTGGCTAGTTTGGACTCCAAAAGAACATCAACCTGCTTTCCTCTTCCTGACACCAAGCAACCTATACAATGAAATTATATCTTCAAAGAATTAAAATTTGCCACCATGAGGATTTTCAAAGGAATGTGCAGCAGGCTCTGACAGCAATTCCTAAAGATGACTTTCAACCAAAGACATGTATAGTACACCAAAAATACAGACATGCACTCAAGAGGGTAGATCACTTAGATAATGCCCAGTTTCAGTTATTTAAAAATCCACACTTTCTTTTCTTAATATTCCCAACATCAGGTATGACAACAGCTTACACATATTTTCTGATAAAGGTGTTTCTTATAAATTCACGACTATAGTACATATTTGAGGGGGAAGTGGCCCACTTTCCTACTGTAAGTAAAAAAAAGGATTTACCAGTTTTCTGATGGCTTAATTCCAGCTGCCCATTTAGGAGACTGTGAAACCCCCCTCAGGCCAGGATCTCTCCCCTTTCTTCCTCAGCTCCCCCACCTCTGCCCAAGTCCTAAAGGGATTCACTTCAACTCTTAGGAAGTAGCCCTCTTTTCCCCTCCACCTTCAATAGGGACCTGTACCTTGCTTTGAGGACTGCCGAGATATGCGATGACACAGACAGGAGAAAGGGAGGATGTGACCGTGTTTGTTGTTTTCGTGCGCAGAGAAGTGTTCAAACAAAACAAGGGAGGGTGTCTTCCTGTAAGTGCTATTTTATCTTAAATATCTTTCCAGTTGTCATCTGGGGACTGTTCTCAGACACTGAAAGACTTGCACTCCTTCCGACAGGTCATAGAACTGCGGGATTTACAGCCTTCCTCCCTTCACACTTGGGACTGAACTGTACCAGCTAAATCACAGCCCTCTCCACCAGCCTCACAATCCACTCTCGGATTTGTGGTTCTCTGCTGTTTGTTTTTCATGACGACAAAGCAGACGGCTTCCTCTTTTCTTAGAAGGCAGTCTCTGTATAGAACTCCCTTGTACTGTTACGTTGGTATTTTTAAGGATTCCCCTCCTGGACTCTGAGCTCCTTGAAAGTTAACATGGTACCCTGCTCACCTCTGTATCCCTAGCACATGGTAGGCAGAAAAATCAATGTCTGCCGAATCAGATAAATGAATGATAGGTTTGAAAGAGATTTCAGAAAAAGAATCAGCAGGACTCTTTGGAATTGTGGCACACAACTGTTTTCAGCATTTCCTTACTTAGATGAAAATTAGTCAATAGCTTGTGCAATAACAGTAAAGATATTTAAATCATTTGATGGTAGCAGATGCCATAATTACATGGCAGCTTAAGATAATGGCACTGATTAGTGAGCAACTTTAGACAAAACATTTAACCTTCCTGAGTTTTCCCTTCTGTTAAACTGGGGGGAAGAAAGGGAGAGAAGTGTTAATACTATATTCTACCTAATCACGAAGTTGTCATAGTGAGGCTCAAGTGACACTATGTATAAGCTCATTACACAAAGACAATGTATTATCAGATTTAAACAAATTCTCGTCATCAGCATTATTTTACATGCATACACTGGACTACGATATATGAGTGAAGTTCAGACAACAGAGCTTATTGACAAACATAATAAATACGATAAAACATGTGCATCATAAAAAAATTCAATCATAGGAATACTTGTAGAACCCCCCTATCTATTCAGTTCGTCTACAGAAAGGCTTGCGATTATGTGTCAGTTCAATTTTAAGTGATTCTCAGCGTCACAGCGTCGGGCTGTGCTTTTTGCTGCAAGAGCAGGAGGCTTTCAGCTCCAAGTCCACGGTGACCGGTGACCGGCCTGAAGCCCCAGACACAGCACCGGGCTCTGCGACGTGCTCTGCGGCAAACAGCCCAGGGAAGCCCGACCTGCGTCACAGCGCAGAGCTGGCTCGTCTGGGACCAAAGCCTGCAGCTGCAAACAGGCAAGCACAGAGAAAATTCTTCAACAGAGCACAGCTCAGACTATCACTAACCAGGCCCAACTACAGCCTGAACCTTAAAAAACGAACAGAATCGAGGAATGAGTGCGCCAAAGCGAGCAACACAATAAACATGTAGTTATAAAGCATCTTTTTTTTTTCAAGAAGAAAAAAGTACTTTTGTCAGAGCCGTAAGTGTAGAGAAAATGTAAAACAAACAAAGGTTCCTTTATAATATGCTACAGACACCACAAATAGCAACATGCTCTAGATTTGGGGGTTGCCGGGTGGTTTCAGCTTCACTTAAATTCCTTAAAATGTCTACCTACTTCTCCAGTCAACCACCCTCTGTACTTTAAGCAAGAAAGACAGATGGCCAAGATGCTGACACTGCAGGAACAATGTTTCTCAACTATTTTTTTTTCCAGTTTTCCATTGCTAAGAGATATAATACAGAAGAGTGTAGTGTAAATCTTTAAGGAACCAACTCAGACTGTCACATGCCAAACCAAAACAATCCTGCATCAGAAAACAAACCATGCACTTGTCCTTAAAAATATTTAAGACTAGGCATCACGGTTTGTAGGAGTTTCACACCTTCCTGAAGCAGAGAGAGGTGAGCTAATCAGTGTGAGTCCTAGAAATAGTTCCTTGGAAGCATCTCTAGAAACAACCAGAGAAGTATGTGATAATCAGCTGGAAGCAGATACACCAAGAATAAGGAGCTTTCAGGATTTCCCTCTCCATGTGAAAGCAATCAACTCCTATTTTTAATCTCACTCTGACGCAAACATCCAAACTTCTCTCCTCCTGGCTAATCAAAGAAAGCTGATTTGTTACTATAAAGTAACTGCTTTAAAAGTCTGATTGGAGCGAAAGTTATCACAGATTGAACGACATGAGGTATTCTGTGAGGCAGAACCAAGACGGCAATGCCCTAAACATTTCACAGAAACACACTTATCCCCCACAACGGATTCTGTGGACTGGCCAAAGAATAACTTCCCAATTGATTAACTGAAAAATAATATGTTTATAATTAAGTGCAAATGAGACCAGCATTTCCCTATACACTGGGAAAACCTAACAGGGTTATTAAAAATAATTATTTCCCTCCGTGCCCAACTGCCTTTATAACACTCAGGTCTACTTCTGGTTTTTCACCGTAAAGGACTGAGGGGTGGGAGAGAGAATGCCTTGATAAGTCAACAAAAAGTCAGAACTCTCCTGGGAACTTGTCACGTTCTTCTTTCCCAATTAACAATTTTTTAATCCACTTGAAAAATGCCAGTGAAGAGGGCCTTTGGCAAAGAACTCAGTAAGAATATGCAGCTCTGGGGTCGCCAACACAGTACCGACATGAAGCTTGCAGAAAATGCTGCTTTTGTCTCAGAGGCAGCCTGTGATAAAAACAGGAACTTTGTGGACAACTGATCCCAACTGCACAAGAAGCCCGATCACATGCCCACAACAGAGCAACGTTTCTCTCATTGTCGTCCAGGGACTTTTCTAATAATAGTGGCTTGATTTATTCCATTCTTTTAATTCTCAAAAATCAATCTGACCCTCCTGTAACAGTCCATTGTCAAAAGAAAGGGGGTGCCCGCCAGGATTTGCATATAACCGGCAGCCACCTCTCTCCCTCCCTCTTCAAAGACTCCAAAAGACGTTCAGATGCGGAAAATTCAGCCCGAACAGCAGCACCAGGAAAAAACCCCTTATGACAAAGATGGTCTAAAAGCAGCCCCGAGTGTCTCCGGCGGGGTTAATGCCACTGCTTCTGGCCTCCCTAGGACCCTCAACGGCCCACTCTGCTTCTATCTCACTCCTGTCACTGGGGAGGCATCTCGCATTGTTAGAGAAGGAGGAAGACGAAATGCTGCGGATTTCCTCCGTCTTTCTCTTTTTCTGAAGAGGGGGAAGGGGAGCTGAAACTGGCGTGGGGCCCTCCCCTCGAAAAGGGTAGAGGAGGACGGGAGAAAGCTGTCAGCCACCCTGCTCGCGGCCTCACCCCCACCCCACCCCCACCGTGCCCCGACGCCCGGGCAGCGGCGGGAGGGCGCAGCTTTGTCTCGGGTTTTGGGGGGCAGGGGGCCCAGCAGCAGCCCGGGCCTGGGGAGGACCTTGCCCCCAAGCCCCTGCTTACCCCCTCCCAGGAAACACAATGAACCACGAAGAAACCCACTTCTCGGGGTGGGAGAGGAGGGGAGCGACCCTTCAGAGCCCAGGCCAGATTTCCGGCACCCTCCTCCCCTCTGCCCGCACGGCCACCAGGGCGCGCGGCGGGGACCCGGTCTCCCCTCGCCGCGAGCCGCAGCGGCGCCCGGGCGCCCGCTCCCCCGCCCGGCTCCTACCCTCAGAGAGCTCCAGCTCCAGCTCCGCCAGCTGCGCCCGCACTTCGGGCGGCAGCGCCGCCACCGCGGCGGGCGCGGGCTCCAGGCCTCGCTCCGCCATCCCGGCTCTGCCAGCCACTCTCCGGAAGACAAGCGAGGGGGCCGAAGGAGGGACGGACTGACGCGGGCCCACACCCCGGCTACAGGATCCGGCTCCGGCCGCCGAGCGCCGCCACCGCCGCCGCTGCCGCCGCCGCCGCCGCCATGAGCGAGGGTCACGTGAGGGCGGCGGCCCCGCCCCCGGGCCGCGGTCGCGCCGCCTCCGCAGCCCAGTCAAGCTGACTAACGTGCTAAGGGCGCCCTCTACTGGGAGTCTCCCGAAACGACGCGCTCAAGCCCGCCACCCCGGTTTCTCCCAGGCGAAATGGGCTCACGGTGTTGATGTCCACATGGATGTAGAGCTTACCCTTTAGAAACTCACGAGCAAGGAGTTTTCAAGGGCTCCAGGTCTTGCTTTTTCCAGTTCTCCTCACCTAGTAGTGTATGCCTTTGTCGTGTTTCTTCTTCCTTTTATCTCTGATTAATACCTACCCTTTTGTGAGGACAGTTCTTTCCCTGGGGTTTTCCGATCCCATATACCAGGAACGCTTTCTTTCTATTTCAGTTTTGGCATTTAAGACAAAGGAGGGAGAATCTGCCTCCTCCTGCCTGGTCTTCTAACTACTTGCAAGAGGGGAACTTCCTCTTCATCTTTTTATCCTAGTGTTAATATTTTAATTCAGTATAAGGACTCAGACGTGTGTATTTTCACCAGAAACTACTGGGGCAGATGCTTTAAATTCATTCATAGTCCTTCTTTAATAGCATTGAATCTATTTTTTTATGCCAAAACTCCCCTACACAATTTGAGAGAATTCAGTGTTTTTACTTCCCTTCCATGCTGATCCAAAATTAGCTCTATAAGCATAAGGCCTCGGCGTTTACTCGTTAGTAGTTTCCAGACCGTATTATATCACACATGGGCTGGAAGGGGAAAAGATTTTTTTTAGGTTGAGAAAAGAATTTCAGCTTGAAAAAAAGCATGTGACATCATGGCTGATTGGGAGGTGGACTTGGAAATTTCCTTTTAACTGCAACAGTGTAATGAGACCAATCCATTTACTTTTTCTATTTCTAGCTTAATCCAGCAGGCACTAGAGGCATAAAAATGGGTAAAAAACGAACAAACCAACCTTCTGTTTGGAGGAATATGCCTGTAGGAAATGATATAAAGGCAAATAGTAAACTATACAAAGATATGTAGAAAATTAATTTAAAATGAAATTACAGGGAAGAGACGTATCTTCCATGCATAAGAACTCCAGGTAAGTTAGGTAACTATTCCTCCCTTCTACGCGGTGGAGCTTAACTCCTCATCACTTGAGTGTGGGCTGTATTTGGTGACTTGATTCCAAAGAGTAGATTATGCAAAGAGAAAACCAAAAGTAACTTTCCAGTGGAAAAGCCTGGTAAACACAACCTCAGCCAACTGATCCAAATTAGCGTCATTAGTCCTGCCGAGCGTTTGAATCCCTTGTTATGATGTGGTGAAAATGGTGCTTTACTTCTATAGTCTTTCTCCCCAAAATGTGTAACTCTAATCTAACCAGGAGAAAACCCTAAGTTGAGAGATTTTCTACGAAGTGTCTGACCTACACTTCAGAATTGTCAAGGTCATCATCAAAAACAGCGAGAAACTGTCACAGACCAGAAAAGCAGAAAGAGACATGATGGTTACAAATAATGTGGTATCTGGATGGAATCCTGGAACAGAAAAAGGACATTAGAGAAAAACTGATGAAATCTAAATACACCATGGAGTTTAGCTAATAGTATGTACTAATGCTGGTTCCCTAGTTGTGATAAACATACCATAATAATGTAAAATATTAACAATATTGTGAAAATTAGATGAGGGGTATGTAGGAACACTATTCTCTTGGCAACTTTTCGGTAAATTTAAAACTGTTATAAAATGTTTATTTGTGGGGTGGGAAGGGATAAATTGGGAGTTCAAGATTTGCAGATACTAACTAATATATATAAAATAAACAATAAGTTTATACTGTTTAGCACAGGGAACTATATTCAATATCTTATAGTAACTTACTGTGAAAAAATATGAAATAAATATATATATGTTCATGTGTGACTGAAGCATTATGCTGTACACCAGAAACTGACACAACATTGTAAACTGACTATACTTCAATAAAAATATATATACCAAAAAATAAATAAATAAAATAAAATGTTTATTTAAAATAAAGACGGCATGCTTAGCATGTCCGAGGCCCTGAGTTCAATCCTCAGTACCTCCATTAACAAAAAAATTAAAAAGAAAAGAAATAAAATAAAGACAGACCAGGGGGAAGTTTTAAAATATTCCCAACATACGTTTAAGTATAAAAAGTATTATAACACATAGCTACCTATTACACTGCTTTTAGAAATATCAACATTTACCATGTCTTATTCTTTACATTGGGTAGTTGCCTGAAAAGCTTCATTCCCAGGCCCTGTCTTTATTTGACATAAATCAAAGCTTTCTCAGTGTGAACAAACATATCCCTAGAGTGTTTGTCAAAAATAAGCAGTGGGTCGCCAGATGAGGGATTCCTTTTGTGCCCACGAAGATCTTTCTCATTTTGCACAACTTGCACTTGGCCTCCTCAGGTGCAATTGAATGGACAGCAAAGTGACCCTTGGTGTCATAGATCAGACAGAAATTGTCTTTAGTCTTGTCAATGCTGATGACATCCATAAAACCAGCAGGTGGGTTATATCAGTGTGGACATTGCCATCAATCTTAATGAAATGCTGCGTGCAGATCTTTTTTACTTCATCACCTATTAAGGCATACTTAAGTCTGTTCCTTAGGAAAATGAAGACAGGGAGACATTCCCTTAGCTTGTCGGGGGCTGGGAGATGGATGAGGAGCAGACACACTGATCAGCTTTTCCAGCATCCAATGCTTTGAGCTGCTACACACCTCAGGTGCTTCTTGGGATCATGAGCCATGACTGCACTAGGCACAAAAAGTTATATTTTTTATTTTTTAATTGAAGTATAGTTGATGTACAATATTACAAAAGTTACAGGTGTACAACATAGTGATTCACAATTTTTTAAGGTTATATTACATTTATAATTACTAAAAAATACCGGCTGTATTCCCTATGTTGTGCAATATATCCTTGTAGCTTATTTATTTTACACATAATAGTTTATACCTTTTAATGCCCTCCCCCTGTCTTGCCCCTCCCCCTTCTCTCTCCCCATTGGTAACCACTAGTTTACTCTCCATATCTGTGATTCTATTTCTTCTTTGTTATATTCACTGGTTTTATTTTTTAGATTCCACAATAAGTGATGTCATACAGTATTTGTCCCTCTCTGCCTGGCTTATTTCACTTAGCATAATGCCCTCCAAGTCCATCCATGTTGTTGCAAATCGCAAAATTTCATTCTTTATTATGGCTATTATTCGACTTCTTTATCTATTCTTCTGTTGATAGACACTTAGTTGTTTCCATATCTTGGCAATCATAAATAATGCTGCTCATATGAACACTGGGGGTGCATGTATCTTTTCAAATTAGTGTTTTCATGTTTTTGGGGATATATCCCCAGGAGTAGAAAGCTGAGTCATGTGGTAGTTCTATTTTCAGTTGTTTTGAGAAACCTCCATACTGTTTTCCATAGTGGATGCACCAATTTACATTTCCACCAACAGAGTACGAGGGTTCTCTTTTCTCCACATCTTTGCCAATATTGGTTATTTGTGTTCTTTTTGATGATAGCCGTTCTGACAGGTGTGAGGTGATATCTCATTGCAGTTTTAATTTGCCCTTCTCTGATGATATTGAGCGTCTTTTCATGTGTCTATTGGCCATCTGCATGTCCTCTTTGAAAAAAAAACGGGTATTCAGGTCTTCTGTCCATTTTTCAATCAATTTTTTTATGTTGAGTTGTATAAGCTGTTTCTATATTTTTGGATATTAACCCCTTATCAGTTATATCATTTGCAAAAATTTCCTTCTATCCAGTAGGTTGTCTTTTTGTTTTGTTGATGGTTTCCTTTGCTGTGCAAAAAGCTTTTAAGTTTAATTAGGTCCCATTTGTTTATTTTTGCTTTTATTTCCTTTGCTTTAGGAAACAGATCCGAAAAAAATATTGCTATAATTTATGTCAAAGAATGTTCTGCCTGTGATTTTTTTCTAGGAGTTTTATGGTTTCCAGTCTTACATTTAGGTCTTTAATAATCCATTTGGAATTTATTTTTATATATGGTGTTGGAGAATGTTTTAATGTCACTGTTTTACATAAAGCTGTCTAGTTTTCCCAGCACCACTTATTGAAGAGACTGTCTTGTCTCCATTGTATAATCTCAGATAAGAAAAAATAAATTTAAACGTTGATCACCACATCACCCAAATCTGGATGACACTTGTGTTTCCTCAGGGAAACCATATCCACAGTGGGTGATCAATGTGTTAAAAAATCCAAATTGGAAAGGAAGCAGTAAAACTGCCACTATTTGCAGACAACATATCATACATAGAAAATCCTAAAGATGCTACCAAAACTACTAGAACCCACCAATGAAGTTTTACTTCTTTATTTTTAATCTTTCTCCCTTCCTCCTTGTGTGTGTGTCTAACAAATTAATTAAGTCATTTACATTTAGTGGGATTACTGATATATTGACTTATTTCTTCCTTATTTAATGTTTTCTGTTCATCAATCTTTGTCTCTTCTTCCTATTATTGAATTAATAATGTGTTGGATAGTACTTCTTAATGTATTCTGCTGGCTTGGGAGCTACAGAGTGTATTCCTTTTTTTTTTTTGGTGTGGCTCTTTTCAAAAGTTTTAACAATATTTTCTACAGAAACAAGTATCTAAACATGCTTTAACTATTTGATTCATCTCCATCCTCATTATTTTGTTATTACCTAGAAATTTAATTTTAACTTTATTTAAACACAAACATTTAAAGAATACCACCAAGCTATATTTTGCTGACATTTTATCAGTTTCTGTGGTTGACATTATTTCTTATATTCTCTGTTTTCCTTCTGGGCTTGTTTTTTCTTGCTGATGTACATCCTTCATAGTTCTTTTAGGGAAGGTATGTGGAAAATAAATTCCCTTAGTCTTTAGTATCTGAAATTTTATTTATTTTATTTTTAATTAATTCATTAATTATATTTTGCCTTAATGCTAAATGACAG